CGCCGACCGCTGCAAATTTAATTGTAGCGGGTTTAACCGCCGGGAAAAGTGAAATTTTATGCTGTGAAAACCCTATTTTTTGGTAGTGCTAGCTAACATAGTGGAAATAACATGGGGTTGAGTAGAAAAATTACAATAAAGTCATGATTGCCAAATTTGAGTATGTGAAGAAGAGTTGGTGGCATCATAGAGAAACAAACAATGCATCCAATAAGAACTAGGTATGCTAAGGAGGCTAATAATAGTTGAGGCACGATGAGCCAAGGTGTATGTTTCAGTCATCTATTGTGATGGTAGGGCTACAAGAACCACCTCTCTAATATCTCCTAAGGGCTTACTTAAAGAGCATGTTACAATTGGTGATGCAACCAAAAGAGTAGAGAGAGAGAGAGAGAGAGAGAGAGAGAGAGAGAGAGAGAGAGAGAAGGGGGGCAACATGAGTTTGCTTTACTTAAGGTCATATTTAGCTACACATGATGAGGTGCCTAATCTAAGAAGATGATTACGAATTTGGCAAATATGAAAATGGTTTGGGTGATATATAAAAGCAATGATATTCACCAACGGATTTAGATCAGAGGGTTATTTAGAATTAATTATTTGGCGAGGGAGAGAAGATTTTGAGAGAAAACTAAAGTAAAAAAGTCTAGTGACTGTTTGTGCACAAAGGTGAGTGTGTGAGTAAGAGAGAATTTAATGATATTTCAGAGTTCACATTGCAAAGAAGAAGAATTATGTAAGAAAACTCGTCATTTAACGTTAAAGTTAGATAGTGACAAATAATATACAATCAACCATTGAATCATGACTTATGATGACAAATGCACCAATGAGGAAGCATTAGTGGCATGAATTTAAGCACTTCACTCAAGGACAAGAAAATGATTAGAGCAACATGAAGCCTAAGAAATGTAAGGGGTGCATGGATCTAGGTTTTTATACCATATTGAAGATTTGAATTATAGTTTGATCTTATATTCAATTATCATAAATATATGGACTTATACAAAATTAAAAAAAAAAAGGTGATATCCCAGATTCAAATATAACCAAGAAACTCTTAAAAAAAAAACGGACTAGATGCTTATGAGAATAAAAAATAAGCTAATTATAATAATTATGAATTTATTCAATTACATTAGTCTTTTACTTTTATTCATTAAATTCTAACTTCAATATTAAAATTTAAAATAAAAAGATCAACTATAATTTTAAATATGTCGTCAAATTCCAAATAATTTAATCATAGTATATTAAAAAACACATACACAATAATGTATTTTCCTAATTAATGTATATGATTTAAAAAAATGTTTATAATTCTCCAAAAAAAATATTCTTTGATAATTAATTTTTTTTACAATAAATAAATAATTTAAAAAGTACCAATATCCGGATCTTCTTCCTCCTACGTGGGTCCCATTTCGCCATGGATTTCTTCTCTTGCAGGCGTGGACCTGCGGGCTTCTTTCAAATTCAGACGTTAAAAGGCGTGGCAGAAGCTTTTGTCCTGCTTCAAAGTCCTCAGAATAAACTAGAAGATGGTGGCGAAAAGGAGAGAGAGAGAGAGAGAGAGATCAAAGGCCAAGCTTGTCTTGTTGTGAATGGAGGATGACCTTTTGCTCTTGTTTTCTTTATGGTTCAAATCATGTCATGACGCAGCTCATCACGGTCTGTTGGAGAGCTTATACTTTCAATTTAAGAGATTTTGGGTTCAAATCTTTGTGTATAGTGTATGATTTTGTCTTAAATGACCATGTCTAAAAAATATATATAAATCATGACATGGATAGCTTTTAGCTATTTTATTATAGGGGCATTTTCCAGTGAACATTTTGCACCTAGGTTTCATTTGCCATAACTTTTTTTTTTAAATAAATTTTCAATTAAAAAATTAAAATTTTTTATTAAAAAATATTTTAAGAAACAGTAAAAAAGCCTTATCAAACGAAACTTTAATCTATAAGAAAGAAACGATTTTAGATTTGGATAATCTATCATCATCATCTTAAAAATTTGATATCTATTAATAATTTAGGTATATAATTTTTATATGAGTGTGTGGTGAATCTTTATACGAAGGTAGGACGTTAAACTCCACAATGTTTTTTATGATCCTTGCATCACTCTCTCTTATTTATGTGCATGTTGAATCTTTGTATAAAACTAAGACGATAAACTCTCTCTCTCTAGTATCATGAATATTCCGACATACAATATTATTATTTATTTTCATACATAATATATTAAGTTTGATATATAATAAAAAATTATCATGTTCAGGCACAAATCTCGAGGCAAAATTGGGTTGGAAGCTTCAAAAATTAAATATGGAATCATCTGAGCTCCAATTTCAGCAAACTTACAGTCAAACTGAGCGTCTTGAAAATATGAACCCATCAACATAAAATTCGACTCAATCTGAGCCCAAATGGGTCCAAATCAAGGACCCGAATCACTATTAGAAGGTTCAAACCATAATTTGAATTACCAAATGGTTTCCAAACGTGACATGCTTATAGTCGAATTGAGTGGCTAGACGAGAAAAATCTAACGAGCCCAAGATTATCGAATTCTGATAACAATAGAGCCTTCAAATGTCTAACAAACGATCTATTATCAAGGGATTCAATATCGGCCATCCATCCAAACCATTCCCCACTTGCCCTTGATTCTCCTCCTATTTACGGGTCATGCCATCCTAAAAAAACTATAAATAGCCCATCATTTCTCTTAAGAGGGGATCCAAGCAAGAAGAGAAGAAAATAAAAAGAACATAAGAAGAAGAAGAAGAAGAGAAGAGGAGGGAAGAAGCTCCTCCTCGACCACCGCTGGAATTCTGCCCGACTTTCAAGTGACGTCGAAACTCTGTTCGATCTCCAAGTGACACCGGAATTCTGTCCGATCTCCAAGTGACTTTGAGATTCAACCTAAATACCCAACATTGTTGAATCCTAAATTCTTGTTTTTAACTGAATTTCAATTCGGTAGTGGATTATTGTAATTTAATCGTCCTAAATTTTAAAGACGACTCAGCCGCTTGTACCTCAAACAAACACTAGTGAAATTCTTTCAATGGAGTTTTTCCCTTTCCAGGGTTTTCCACGTAAAAATTGTGGTGTTCTTTTATCATTTATTTGTGTACTGAATATTCGTACAACGCTGAGACGAAAACTTTCTAACTTTATTGCCACATATATTCTAATCCGCAACAAAGTTATATTTCATAATTATTGGATTTGCATTTAGATTAGTGCTATGTATTAATTTCAACATAAATTGAAAGTCTTAGAAGGTCAATTAATATAATTTGCATAAGTATTTTTTTATGTTTATTTGTTCATAAATTTGTGTAATTAAATATAATTACATTTTTACTAATATTTTAAGCTCATTTTATTTTAAATACAGTTAGAGTATATTGAACTTTTTTTAGGGCCGAATAAATGAAATAAGGCCTAATTTAATAAAACCCCTAAACTATACGGTGATGGATTTACAATTATTTATTAAAGTTAAGAAATTTTAAAATAGTCAATTTTGATAATAAGCAGACATTTATATTTTATATACGCGCTATCAAAGTAGATTTTGGATCCATCGGAGTAGTTTCAACATATGGGCAAATTATTATGTGCGGTGTTCGGACCGTCCGGAGATGAATCCGGACGCGCCATGTCATTCGGATGCACTGGGGTCGGGGTGATATGGTGCGTCCAGATTCACTTTCGGACGAATCCGAACACAGGACGTAATAATTTGCCCAAGATATGGGCTTCACAATAAAATTATCAATTTTTCATATGAGTGTTGACATTTATCCAATCAATAGTTCTTTTTATTTGTTTTTAGATTATGATTTTTTTTTCCTTTTTTTATCATAATAATTTTACTTGCAAATTCTGGACAATCATTTATTATTGCTATGCTTGGATTGAGGGGTAGTGCTGAAGTTGTGGCTATGTTTGGATTGAGGGATGATGAAAGATGACATGAATTCAATGAATTATTATGTGCGGATAACGGATGGGAAGAATCGTTCGATTTGTCTCTGTGAACAATACATGAATAATAAAAGCGCTATGAATTGCATTTTCTTTGTTCATGCTACGTTTTTTTACTGTTTATAGCACTAGATAAAACCAGACGGTTCTTATCGTCTAGTGTCCACACTTAGGGGTGTCAATTTCGGGTCACGGGTCGGGTTCGGGTCGAACCCGAACTGACCCGGGTGGAAAACGGGTCAACCCTAACCCGACCCGGGTAGAGGAAACAACTTTGAAATTGGTAGTGCTAGAATAACAGGTAAATCAGCCAATGATATTAGGAAGGAGGTGATTAGTTTGGATGAATCTACAAAAATGCCCGATGTTTTGAAGAAATTCATCATTTTTTTGCTGTCAAACTTATTTTTTCCTCTGCACAACTATCGAACACCAGCCTCTGTCATCAGTGTGGCTCAAAATGTTGAGAATTTTTTATCGTACAATTGGTCGGATTCAATCAGAGAATTCCTTGTTGCTGACTTTAACGGCATTGCAAAAAAGATGAAGAAAGGACAGCCACTCGGTTACCTGAATGGATTTGTTCATATTATAATTGTGAGTGCTTCGAATTTAAATTGTTTTGTATTAAATTGTTAGATATATTTTACGTTGATTTTCTTATGTATTAGTTCAGATCTGGTTTCTTGAACATTATACACTCCACGAACCATTGAACTCGAAGGCAAGACCAAGGTTTCTCCGCTAGGGATCCGATGTAGTTTATAACGACGCAGATGCTAGTTTGCTGGCTGAGAAAAATAAACTTCGTCCTGGCCTTTATCAACCATTTATTTATGTTTCGAGTCTGCATTGGGTAATGGTGTTATTTTACTTGCTATAACTGAATATGTTTAAAAGTTCTCCTAACCTGAATACACATACAGGCATCCAAGAAATATGATATGGAAAGTAAGCAGTACGTGTCGCACATTAACAAAGATGCCGTTACCGCTTCTAACTTTCTGCTACTACCAGTAAATGATAATGAACATTGGACTCTTCTGGTTGCTTATTTGAAGAAGGCAACTTGGTATTTCTGAAAATCATACTTCCTATGCCATCCGAGGGGATTCCGGTAGCTACCATAGATGACAACGGCCTATCAGAGTAAAGGTCCTTTCTTGCTCGACCTGACCATCTCTTGAGTAGATATTTCGGAGGTATATTAATTATATCAATCTGCCTTACCACTCTCAAGCAATGAGAACATAGTATCCCCATCATGCCGAATTTTCCACAGCTGCATTCGATGCTACCTTCTGCATCATCAAAATTAACTGTCCAGTAGCGAGGCTGATCAATGTTCTCAACAGTTTTGACAAAAAAAGTTGATAAGTCAGTTGAGGCTTGAGCTATGCACATTCCACCCACACCTTGTAAAAACTCCTCAAAGAAAGAATACAATTTACGCGAATAAAAACGCGCGGCCTGCCTAAGAATTGGACTGCTCTTCACCAAAGGAACAACATCGGACTGACTACATTTGAAGTCTTCATCCTTCTCATTCCGACGCCATGTCTTCATCACCTTTTCAAGACCCAAAAAACACTCAGTGATGGTGCTAGTAGGCTTAGAAATGCCGTGGCACACATTGTTAGTGGATTCACTGCGCTGTGTCGAAAGAATACCAAGGTTAAAATAAGTCTTGTTGTATGTTGTGGACCACTTGTTCCTTATTCTGTGGAGTTCTTTCAACCACACATGGCTATGAAGGTCCCCTTCATTCAGCATTTCAGTCCAAGTACTTTCAAACTCTTCCTCCGAATCACACCTGCTAAAACATTTATAAATCAACCCTCTAACCTTGTTGTTGCTGTTGTAACAATGCACCTTGGATGGAAGCTTCTTCATGATGTGCCATTGGCAAAGCCTATGGCGTGTTTGCGGAAATGCAATTTCTATAGCCCGAGACATTGCCTGATCCTGGTCAGTAAAAATTGTAATGGGATGTTTATCACCCATTACTCTCAAGAATGTTCTAAACAGCCATGTAAATGATTCTACTGTTTCTTCAGACAGAAATGCTACCCCCAAAAGAACATTCTGCCAATGGTTGTTAACTCCAACAAAAGGTGCACAAGCTAGATTGTATTTGTTCAGTCTATAGCTGGTATCAAAAATTATAACATCTCCAAAGCAGTCGTAGTCTATTCTTCCCACACCATCAGCCCAGAAAAAATTCATCAATCTATCCTCCTCATCATATTGGACTTCCCACACAAACATGTTATCACTGTTTGCTCGGTTTTTAAAAATTTCTATTAGGGAATTGGTATCCCCCGTCTCAATCTTGCATCTTCTGTTTCTCTGAACAAAGTTATATGCATCTCTTCTTAAAAAACCAACATGCTCCCTCCCACCAACTTCATCAGCTAAGTATGTGAATGCATCAATGGTTCTAATCCCAGCATCAGTCATAGATTTAAGAACAAATGCTCTCTCTTCGGTAATTTTCCTGCATGATCTCAATAAATGTTGATCTTCAGGCCTTGCCAACTCATGGTTGTGGTTCTCAACACATTTATTAACCTTCCATTCCCCATCTTGATCAACTGAAAATCTAATCATCGCGGGACACCCAGTCCTAGTATTGGCTTTCCTGTATTTCGATTTCACATTCAGGTCAAGGCCCTTCTTAAAACCAGCTTTCGAACATACATAATCTTTCATCCGTATCTTCCTCGAATTCGGCCAGAAAGAATGATGATCTTTGCGAACACTAAAACCAACACTATGCGCGTATCGACAGTACATATCAAAAGCCTCTTTCTCACTATTACAAACAACCTACGAACAACAACCAAAAAGAGTTTAACATTGGAAACAGACACACAATTTTAAAATAACTTTTGTACCTACCGGTACCTACCAGTACCGACCGATACCTACTAATACCTAGCGGTACCGACCAGTTAAAAAACGGCACTAAACGGTACTACCAACCCCCAGTACATATATTCTCACCAACACAAAATTTTTAAAACACTCAACAAGTCACGGCTTTCATTTCATATTTACCGATAATATATCAAAGTTTGGTTGGGTATTCTGTTGCAAACCATCTCTAGCTCTAAGCTCTGGCTCTTGCGTAAAACCTTCCATCTCCGACCAGTCGTTAATCTCTTCCAGTACATTATCCATCTTCAGACCTTACGCCTCGAACCACATAACTTATGCTCTGCTCCTGCTTTCTGAGGTTTCAGGTGTTACGAGAAAAAATTTTTAACTGAGGTAAAAAACACGCGCCAGCAAATATAACCCTAGCTTTAACCGCGCATTTTTTGAAGTAGATCAAATGGTTCGTGTTATCGGGTTATCAGGTAAACATAGCACACGCTCTCCTCAATATGGTGGGGTCAAGGTGGGCTCCACGTGGCGCGATACTACTTGTTTGCACATACAGAACTACGTCCGCACTCGGCACCCAATAAAAACTCCTTATAAACAGCATGCCCTATTGTCATGTGCAAATTTAAATATTCTTATTCTGATTTTGTAGGGTATTAAGATTTTTTTACTATTTAAAATAATTTTTTAGTACTAAATTTTTAAAATTTTTGTACTAAAAAATACTACTTTAAGAAACAGTAAAAAAACCGTTCCAAAACAAGCCTATGTTAATAAAATTGTGTGTAGAAAACTAATCATTTTACAGGATTGTTGCGTCCTGGAGTATTCGCTGCGGCAGAGAAATATAAAGTTTATCATTTTAGCGTTGTACAAAGATCCAGCACGCACATAGATGAAAGAGAGGGTGCAACATTCATAAGAGACACCAATATTTTTACGTTGAAAATTCTGAAAAGGGGAAAACCCGCGGGGCTTGGCCGACGAAAGTCTGGATACATGTAGAAGTCCGGCATTGGGAAGAAATCCAGTGTAGGGTAGGAGTTTGGGAATAGGCGGAAGTTTGAAGTTGGGTAGAAGTCCGACGACGAGCGGAAATCTATCGTCGGGTAGAAGTCCAGCTACGGGCGGAAGTGCGACGTCGGGAATAAGTCCAATGAAAGTCAGGCTATAGATAGAAGTCCGGCGTCGGGCGGAAGTTCAGTGTCGGGTAGAAATCCGGCATCGATCAAAAATCTGACGTCGGGTATAAGTCCGTTAAAAGTCCGGTGACAGGAAGAAGTCCGACTATCGATGGGCCGAATTTTGGCGTCAGGTAGAAGTCCGACGAAAGTAGATGGCCGGGTAGAAGTCCTGCTTCAATTGTCGGTTGGGAAGAACTCCAGTGTTAGTTAGCATTATGGTAGAACTCCGGCGTAGTTAGACTGTCGAGCAGAACTCCAGCATCGATCAGACTGTGGTTGAGGAGTTTCTTCCTTCTCTTCATTTTCATCCTTCTTTTCTTGTTTGGGTCTCCTTCTTCCCCGCTTTGGGGTTCCCCTTCTATGAGAAATGAGGGGTATATTTATAGTTTTTTGAGAGTAGTATGATCAGTAAATAGGAGGAAAATCTTGATTAAATTCGGAGTGGTTTGAATGGACAACCGATGTTAAACCCCTTGATCTTGGACTGTTTATTCGGCATTTGAATGTCTTAATGATATCAGAATCCATTGATCTTAGGTTCGTTGGATTTGTCTCGTCGTGCTGCTTGATTCGACTGTAAGCATGTCATGTTTGGAAACTATTTAGTAATCCAAATTATGATTTGAACCTTCCAAATATGCTTCGGGTCTTCGATTTAGACCCATTTGGGCTCGGATTGAGTCGAATTTGGTGTCGTTGGGGTTGTATTTCCGAGATATTCAGTTCGACTGTAAGTTTGCTTAAATCATAGTTTAGATGATCACCGATTTAACTTTTGAAGTTGTCATTCTTGATTTTTCTTTGAGATTCGTGTCCGATCAAAATAATTTTTTGATGATATATATCAAGGATATTCTTTACTTTTATGGCCTAAGTGAGAATAAAATCATTCATTGTGTTATTCAAATACATAACAATAAGAAATTATGTAATTCAAGTCTTATGTCTCAAGAAGCAATTTCTTCATTGTCCTGAAGGCTTCGCTTCGGACGGCTTTTTTATTGCTTCCTGAATCGGCATTCTAGTACAAAAATTAAAATTTTTATACTAAAAAGCTGCTTTAAAAAGAAGTAAAAAAGCCGTCCAAAACCAAGCCTAAGTTAATAACATAAAAATCATATATGATAATACAAAAATAATTTAAATTACAAAGAAACTTATTAAGCACTCGTGAAACTAATACATTAAATTAATAATCCTTTTATTATTGATCACTTGCCAAAAGAAGATGTGGATATTTAGTTCATTTACATTACCAATCAGCTAGCAAATTTATTCACTAAATCAATTAGTCATAAGAGATTTAGTGCATGAATCTAGTTAAGTACATTTGTGTGCTTGTATTTTTTGATGAGTTTTTTTTTATTATATTTTCATAATTTTGTGATTATATTAAACTCTGATTATTCTTGCTTTGAGGAATATTTTTACTAGAGATGCAAAAAAAAAAAATTTGCAAAATTAACTCTGGATAGTCGTACTATACAATCTATATTGCACGACATATATTATTTCATTCAGTCTGATTCATAATTATATTATAAAGTCAAATCATATTGTATGATCCTATATTATATTGATCGTATTATAAGATTGGACATAGTCAAAATAAGCAATTTTCTAATAATTAAGATGACCAATTTGATCTTCGTATTGTATGACTTATTAGTCCAAATAATTTAAGAAATTGCACTCTTATTACAGAACTTCACTCACATTTCCTAGATCCTCTAAAATTTCAAAAGAGCTTCTAAAGTTCTTAAAGAGAACTAAACCCTAAATAAACACAGGTTTAACTTCCATTCCACAACACAACACTACTTCCAAATGGTGTTGATGTTACTACCTACAAAATGTATCGATAGTGTTCCAATTCCTTATTTGATTTACCTATCCATGTATGACTCTAAATTATATTTTGGATCATTTAGAAACTTAGGCTTCATTTGTGACGGCTTTTTTATGGCTTCTTAAAGCAGCTTTTTAAGATAAAAATTTTATATCTTGTACTAGAAAGCTGCTTTAAGAAGTAATAAGAAAGCCGTCCCAAATGAAGCCTTAATTTTTAAGAACTAATTCTAGTTCACAATGTATATCAAATTAAACAATTAGGTCTAAATGTAAAGTTATGAGTGTAATATAAATCTTCCAGCACGAATCTCAAGGCATAATTATATAAAAAACTACCAAAATTAAAATTTGGACCACTCGAACTTCAATTTTAGCAAACATATAGTTAAACTCAATGTCTAAAAGAGATAAACCCAACAACATCAAAATCGGTCCAATTCAAGCCCAAATAGATCTAAATTAGGAGCCCAAAGCACATTTCGAAGGTTCAAAGTATAAATTGGATGACCAAAATCTTTATTTTCATTTTGGGTGTTAAGATTACTAAAGTCAATCGTATTCTCATAATTTTCATTGAAAGTTTTAGCAAAATATACCATCCACCTTTGTTGAATATCCTCTTCAACAACGGTGGATGAGATATTTTGCTAAACATTTCAATGAAGATCGTGAGAATATGATTAACTTTAGTGACCTTAGCATCATAAATAAATATATTTTTTTCTAATTGATATAAATTTTTAAGGTAATTGATATAAATATTTTCTTGTAAACCCTAAAATATGAGAGAGACTAGAAAAAGTCAGAGAAAGAAAGCACAGTAGATGGCACTTAAAAGAGAACCATTCTATTCAAATTTAAAAATATTAGAATAGGGTGTATGTTTTTTCATTATCCATCAAGAAGAGGGCATCACCACCTTGTTGACCAAAAGAAAGAGTAGTGAAATCTTTTGTTAGAAGGCTTGAGGACATAGACATAAGTGTAAACCTCTAGTTTAATATTAAATCATGGTAATCTTATTGTAAGTTCTAGTAAAATAGCCTTACCAGTTTTATTCTTGAATTATTTTGTTAGTTGTACTTATTTTTTTAAATCTTTAAAGAAAAACAATCATTTAAATTTTTTTGAGGTAATTCTCCTTAAATTTTTAACATATTTTTTTTCTATTTTTACTTTACATATTTTAGTTATTAGGAAATGTACTAAGCAATTACTGACTTGCCATTGACTTCAATCATACTATCATGAGAAAATTTTGCAGACATAAAATAATAAATTCAGTAGCACAAATATAGGGGATTGAGGAATTTGCATGGGCAAACTCAATTAAAATTGTACTAGTAGTGTGAGCAATTTATTATGAATGAAATACTTCCCCATAAGTAAATTAGAAATTAATATAATATAATAATCATAAACAATAAAATAAGACTTACATAATAGAAGTAGAAAGAGCATTGGGGTGTTAGAGTTATCATCAAGAGATATTTTATGATCACCTAGTTGTTCTCCTTGTAAGAAGGCATATTGGTTATTATAGATGCTAATATTAACCTTAGTGTTCATTGCAAGTTTCAGTCTTTGAGATGTAATCAAGTTGAATCGAGCTAAGTACATTCTAAATTACACAAACAAATATTTAAATGAGCTAATAAATAAGCTAAAAGTTGAATGAGTACTTGACTTTTCATGTTAACAAATAATTTTCAAATCTAAATAAACAAGAAATTTAATAAATTTGAAAATTGTTGTGTGCTAAAAATTTAAAATTTTGACAGGGAAAGTTTTTACATCCTAACTTTGCATTTTTTTTGGACATTTAGATCATTTAAGGAAAATTCACACACACAACGCATACACAAAGACTCAAACCCAATACTTCTTAGTTGGAAGCCTAAGCTCTCAACCAACAAACCAAGGTGAGTTCAGCACATACAAAGATAAAAAATGAAGAATATATGAGACACCGGATTTTTTTATGTGAAAAACCCATAAAAAAAATATGAGGCTTAGCCAAGTTTAAATAATTCATTTGGTACTTGAAGTTACAAAAGTCCACTCATCTGCAAAATTAATGAGAAAAGGATTACAAATTATTTGTTCGCTTGGTTTCTTATAGTTATAAGAGAGATTATGGGAGAAGTTCGGAGAGATGATGATAATGACAAACATATGATATCGATTGGACAACAATGGTTAGGTGAATGGGCGAATGTGATTATATGATGATAATTGGGTAACAGGGAATGCACTATG